TAAGCCTGTGTGCTTCGTAGTTTCTTGCTCAAGTATTAAAACAACTGGTTTTTTGTTGCTGCATCAAGACATCTAATCATATGGATGTGGGGCAAAAAACAACTATGCTGCAGTTATATTAAAATCCTTATAGGGTTAAGATACGTCTAACCCCCCAAACTATTTTGTCAGGTGTACCCAGCGCCCTCAAATATTTTTTTTAGATGCATCAAGTATCCTCAAATATTTTGTGGTGTAATTTTACTCTTAAAATATTAATTTTTTTCAGAAGCAGTTGTGCTTTAAAAGTGTTATCTCATGAGCAGTTTTAATTTCATTATTAACTTCTCAAAAGCTTCATTAAATGAATGTATATTAAGCACCATAACGTTTTTTTTTCAATATTTTTTAGGGTCCTGGGTGCTCATGAAAAAATACTTTAGGGTGCTAGACGCATCACAAAATATTTCAAGACACTGGATGTATCTGAAAGAATATTTCAGGGTGCTGGGTGCACTACAAAATACTTTTGGGTGTTGAAAGGCTCTAGATACACCTTAACCCATCTTTAAATAACCCAGATAGAATTTCTATATCATTTTCTGTTTGGCTAAAAGAACAAATCTAGAACGGATTACCCTCATAACCAATTTAGAGACTTCTGAATGTAACTTGTCACTTAGATCCTATACACCGTCAGTGTCTATGGGATGGAAAAGAGCATTGTACTCGGAAACCTACTTTTTATGTTTTCTTCGCATTATTTGATACAAAAAGTTAGAACCAGAACAGGAAGCTTTTTTGATAAAGCTTTGATTTCCACGTCATGGTAATTAGACGTCAAGTGATTTTTTTTTTTCCCACCGAAGACGTCAAGTGATTTAAGTCATATGTTTCCTTGGTGTTTTCAGTTGCCTGTATGATTTTTATTTTCCTAACTAATGCATTTCTTCACTAAAATATTGAAGGAGTATTGCTTCCCCTGCCATGGTCCATAAGAATGAAGATCGCATTTGGCGCTGCCAAGGGACTTGCATTTCTTCACGAAGCAGAAAAGCCTGTTATCTATCGTGACTTTAAGACATCAAATATATTGTTGGACCTGGTCAGTAAATTTAAAGGGTTTATTTTTCTTCAATTAAATGTAAAGAGGAAAGTCAATTTTCTTTTTGGGTGAGTATATGCATAATTACATAGTGAAGCTAATTAGATAGAGGCGCATTTTTCAAAAAATAAAAGCATCTATTAGAAGGTGATAATATGTTGACATCCATGGTCTGGTCTTCTGCCTGGAATTAGTTTGATCGCTCATGGCAGCAAATGATATTTAATCTTTGTGAAGTGTAATGGGAGGAACCTAAGATCCTGTATGCCTGTATATGCTTGATGTCTTTTGTTCATCTGAACACTTGAATCATTATACTAGCGTTGTCAAATATTGTCTGTCACCATAAAACAGATAGAGACAGAAGATGAGCAGAGGTTAGCAGGCTAAATAATTAATCAGCACGACTCATTGTTTTGAATTGAATCCAGGTTGGGTAAGTTCCAGCATCTTAAGATGAACATATGAGTACTTAATAACGGAATGACTTGAAGCAAAAGTTCGAAGCATCTCTCGAGTAACAAATTTGGTGTGCATGGCTAGTTTAGTAGTCCTTGTGTTCTAATGCCTTCATGTTCTAACACGAAGGTGAAAATATATAACTATCGAGCAAGCAATGCGATAAGAAAAGGCAGGAAAGGCTGTTGCCATCTCTTTTTATGTTCAACTGAGGATACAGAGGACATAATATTTGCATGAAGTACAGAACATGCCTGACATTGTACAGAAATACTTTAGCTGCTTCTCTTGTATAGCAATGGCTGCACTCTTAGCAGAGCAAGCCATGTTTCAACTATTTAACAATCTTGATCGTATGACGTGCTTCATCAAGAGCAGGACTACAATGCAAAACTTTCTGACTTTGGCCTTGCTAAGGATGGGCCTGTTGGCGACAAATCTCACGTCTCTACTCGCATAATGGGAACTTATGGATATGCTGCACCCGAATACATATTGACCGGTAAAGTTAGTTTTCAAGCGAAAGAGTGATTGTGGTTTGCCTTTATATATTGACACTGAAAGTATCAACTGTGCAGGTCATCTGACCCCTAGAAGTGATGTGTACAGCTTTGGCGTTGTTCTTCTTGAACTTCTGACCGGAAGAAAATCTCTAGACAAGTCGCTGCCTGCTCGGGAGCAGAACCTTGCAGATTGGGCTCTTCCCTTGCTGAAGGAAAAGAAGAAGTTGTTGAATATAATTGATCCAAGACTGGAAGGCGATTATCCTATAAAAGGAGTTCACAAGGCGGCGATGCTAGCTTATCATTGCTTGAACCGCAATCCAAAAGCAAGGCCTTTGATGCGAGATATAGTAGATTCATTGGAACCTTTGCAGCTTCACGATGAGGTTTCTATTGGAAAAACATTGACCATCATCAGTGAGGTTCCTCAACCCGAATTAAAAAGGAAAGATGCAGAATAATCCCTCAAGGCTGTCAGTGAGGTTTCTTCTTTTCTCGTCACATTTGTTTTTCTGTGGTTTGAAGGGAGAGAGGTTTTGCATGGAAAATAGGCTATTTGTTTTCATATGCAATTTGAGTTCTGTATAAGCCAACCTCAATCTAAACTGGTACATACATAGTTGTATATTATGAAGTTTCACGTTTGACCGCTGACACCCTTTTATTGACCATCTAAAAGTAAAACCACCAAGGGTAGTAGAAATTTTGTCGCGTGCTTGTTACCATTTCGGATTTGAATCCCGTCAAAGAGGGCACACGTGTATCTTATCATCATAAAATCGGTTACTGGATATGGCAAAGTTGGACTTTCGGTGTTTTCTTCTTGTTGTGCATTTATTTTTAAATAATTTGAATTTAATTTAATCAAAAGGGTAATATACCCTCGTGTATGGATGCAAGAAATTATTAGTTGATATCAACATTTTTAATAACAACTAACAGATGTTTAAAATAATAGTTTGAAGGTAAAACGTTGAAAAAATTGAAGAGAGAAAGTATTGCTTTAATAATTTTAAAATTGCTGGTTTATAATTTTTAACTGATCAGTGATCTATTTAATGGAAATTTTGGCAGAAAATAGGATGGTTGTTAATTGATGTATCCATCTATAATACAAAAATCAGAAAACATGGTTTTTGACATCCACAACTGTAAATATGGTTAACTTAAATTAACGTCCTTTTAGTTTTTCAATTAAGAAATCAATTATTGGAGTTATATTTAATTTTGGTTAAAATTATATTATTACTAAATATCATCATCACATTAGTCATCTATCATCTTGAAAAGTCTTGACTAAATTTAACCACAAATTTAGGGATAATTCTATTAACAGGTTACAAAGATTAAGCTCATCAGAACTCTAGTCATATAAAAACTATATTTTCTCCGTAAAAATCACATCATTAAGTTGATTCTTCAAACTATGAGCCATAATTTCAGGTTAAAAAAAAAAGTACAAAAACTGATGTGAAGTTTTTTATATGTATTATATTAAGTTCTCTAGTCATACATAATTTTATGTATTTTTCTACTGATATTTTAAAAATAGGACATGTGAAAACTTGATAGCCTAAGAAACTTAATGTAAATATTGTTAAAAAAAACTATGAAACATAAATTGGGCAGAAAAAAAACTACGAGCCACAATGGTGGTTAAAAAAGGTTTAAAAAAAAAAAACACAACTAGAGTGGCCGACAGGCTATGAACCATGAAGTATGAAGGTGAGACGGAATCGGTCAAGTATTATTTTCCCCGATTGTTAATATTAATATAAGACTTTATTTAATTTTTATTTTGGTATTAAATATAAAATTTCAATTTATTTTATTTTAAAATAATTTTTATAATAATGATAGTTCTAACTAACATACTTGATAAGTAATGATATTTTAGAAAAAAAACAATACATATTTATTATAAATAACTAATCTAATACTCCTCCGGTCCTTATTATAAGACCCAATTTGACTTTTTATTTGGTCCTAATTATAAGACCCAATCCATTTTGTCTCTTATATTTATGTATTTTTTTCCAAGATAATCCTTCTAATAATGATAGTTTTAGCCAATATACTTAATTAGCAAGGATATTTTAGGAATGACAATACTTATTTATTATAAACCAACTTAACTTACTTCCTTAATCTCCTCAAATAAGTCAATTGGGTCTTATAATTAGGATCGGAGGAGTACGTATTTATTACAAATAACTAATCTAACTAATTTTCTTAATATATTTAAATTAGTCAACTAGCTCTTATATTAAAAACTGAAAGTAGTACATTGTACTTAATATAGGACATATTTAACTAATTTGATTAAATTAAGAAATTTAAATAAGTTAATTAATTATGAGAAATATGATATGTTTTTTCTAAAATATTATAATCATTTTCTTTAGTGTCTTCTCTTCCTCTCCTATTTAATTACGATTGATGATAATTTAAAAATTTAATAATTATGAGAAATATGACTTATATTTAGGATCAAAATTAACTCAATAATTAGGTACTATATTAAGTACTACCTTCGTTCTATAATATAAGAATTTGTTTGACTTTTCACTTAGTTCTAAATATAAGACCCCAATTTACTTTGTCTTACATATGTATCTCTTTTTTTAAAGTAATTCAATGAGAGTTCTAACCAATATACTTGATTATTAAATATATCTCAAAAAATATAATATTTATTTATTATAAGTAATTAAATTAGCTAATTTTTTTAATCTATTTAATCAAGTTGAGTAGAAACAGGGGTTAGTGTAACAATTGGGTGCCACTGGAGCAGAAGAGAAGAGGTTCTAGATTATTCGGAAGCAAGACAAATAGAAGCGCAGGAGCAGCAAATGGGATCTAACGGCCCGGATGAAACAGAAGGTTCAAGAGGTGCATCCCTGGCCTTTTATTTATTCCTTACAAGTAAACCTAATCCTTCGACTGCTCGCGCTTCACCGTAGAGCATACTGTGCTCCCTGCCCAGCTTGCCCTGCTTCCTTCTTGCTGAGTGTTATCCAAAACCCTTCCTATCCTTACCCATCCCTTTAAACCCTAATCAGCTCCGACGCTCCGAGCCGTCTACTGGTATTACTAACTCATCTTGATTCATTTTCTCAGCATTTCGACGTCAAGTTTCCGTTCTTTACTCCGGTCCATTTTCTTTGTTGATGTTTTTGGGTGATGTTGTCGTCCCTTTGTATTGCTGTTGAATTACTAATGGCAATATTATTGTTTATTTCGGCCGTTAAAAAGTATAATGGGAGACTGACTTTCTGTCCGCTATCCTTTCCTTGGTTGGGTAATTTTCTGGGTCAAGAAGTGTTGTGCACGTTTAAAAACTTAATGCAAGTTTTTACCCCTGGCTGTATTGCTGAAAAGCTGTTTGTCGATGAGAATTGGTCAGTGTTGGTTGACACTGGTTGCAAAGTGCTCAATTTTTTTCTTACTTACCGTACAAAAATTGAACTCTACAAAGCTGAATTTGTTACCATGTGATGACAGCGGTTGTTACGTGTGCGTGTATGACATTTTACCCCATTTCTCCCCTACTGCGTTGTTCTTACGTTCGTCTAATCTGTGTGGCCTTTCTTTACGGAGTCTGATTCTTAAAATCTTGACTTATTCTCCTGAAAGCTTCCGTAAACGACTATCTCATTCACTGGTTATTGAGTAATAACGTGCGTGTTTTCCTGTGAGCATAGCTACGCTAGCTTGGAAAGTTCAAATATAGCTTATATTTGAGTTGGTTTTATGATTCCATTTAAAAATTGAAATGATTATGCTGCGTGAAAGAGATTTTGCGCTTTATATTCTGGGTTAATGAAATGCAAGAATTACAAAGAGTGGTGCGGGTTTTTAATATTTGAACCAGTGGTCAGTTTTATTACCATTTGAAAGATCCACCTTCCCTCCATAACTGAGTGTTTTTTTGTGGATGCGAGCATATAGTTGCCCGTTACTTCTTCTCTTTACTTTAGCACCACATATTTGGGTTTACTGATTAAGGGTGTCTTACTTGACATTCAGTTTTCAGAAGTGATGGCATCAACTTTCACAGCAATGTCTTCAATTGGCTCTTTTGCGGCCCCTGGGTGCCGAGTGACAGATAGGAAGCTTTCCTCATCTGCCTCTATTTCTTCATTTTCCTTTGGTAGGAGGCGTAATTTACTTATAAGGAGAAATCGATCTCCCATGATTTCTGCCATGGCAAAGGAGTTGCACTTCAATAAAGATGGGTCAGCTATTAAAAGATTGCAAGTGAGCCTTTGATAAGGACCCTTTTCTCACTCATTTAAAGCTTGACTGATGATCCTCCGTTGATGTAACTTAATTCCTAATACCGTGACATCTTATTTTATTCCAGAGTGGTGTTAACAAGCTTGCAGATCTTGTTGGAGTCACACTTGGCCCTAAGGGGAGGAATGTTGTACTGGAGAGCAAGTATGGCTCCCCCAAAATTGTTAATGACGGAGTGACTGTGGCCAAAGAGGTTTGCCCTCCTCCCCTCCCCCCCTCTAATTTGCTTTTGATTTATGTCACTAATATGGTGTGTGCGATTAACTTACAATTTATGAATTCAGTATAATGTCTCGGCATTCTGTTCTTCTCATGCCACAAGTTTTAGTTCATTTTAATTCTCGGATGACATGAGATTTTCTGGATGCTTCAAATTACATTTGGCATTGTTATCAATCAAATATATGAGACATACTGTAACTACCTCGCCCTTTTTTCCACCTCCTCTCAAAGGTTGAATTGGAGGATCCAGTGGAAAACATTGGTGCCAAGTTGGTGAGACAAGCGGCTGCCAAGACAAATGACTTGGCTGGTGATGGAACCACTACGTCTGTTGTTCTTGCCCAGGGTCTTATTGCAGAAGGTGTCAAGGTTTGTTCTTTAGTTTCTACGTTTAAAAATTTTAACACATCTCACCTTGTTCTGCTTCGTGCAATTAAAATTTTGTCAGCAAGTTGAAAAGTGGTTCTTTTTATGTGGTATCTCTAAGTTGGTATCATGTAAGATTGATAAAGCAGTTATGAGTTGACACATAAGTTAAATTTGCAGGTTGTAGCAGCTGGTGCCAACCCTGTACTAATCACTCGTGGCATTGAGAAGACAACAAAGGCTCTTGTAACTGAGCTAAAACAGATGTCCAAAGAGGTGATGCCTTTTATGTTTTCTTTTATTCAGCATTATCATCATATAACGGGCAATTTTTATTTCTGTATAAATTCTGTAATTTCATTATTGTTTCTATTCAAGATGTCATGATTGAATGGAATGCAGGTTGAGGATAGTGAATTGGCAGATGTGGCAGCAGTAAGTGCAGGAAATAACTATGAAGTAGGTAATATGATAGCCGAAGCAATGAGTAAGGTTGGTAGGAAGGGTGTTGTGACACTTGAGGAAGGAAAAAGTGCAGATAACAGTCTTTATGTTGTTGAGGGGATGCAATTCGACCGTGGATATATCTCACCTTACTTTGTTACTGATAGCGAGAAAATGGCCGTTGAATATGAAAACTGCAAGGTGTGGCATTGGACTTTTCTACATCTGTATTGTCAACAATCTATATTTATCCCTTATGCGACAATTGTTTTATGCAGTTGCTATTAGTTGATAAAAAGATAACAAATGCAAGGGATCTGATTAACATTCTGGAAGAGGCTATTAGAAATGGATTCCCAATTTTGATTATAGCAGAGGACATTGAACAAGAGGCTTTAGCAACTCTTGTTGTGAACAAACTTAGAGGAGCATTGAAGATTGCAGCCCTTAAGGCCCCTGGATTTGGAGAGCGAAAGAGCCAGTACCTTGATGATATTGCCATCTTGACCGGAGGTCTTTAAAATTCGCTAATTTATTGTCCTCTGTTTTGAGCGTCTAATTAGGAAGTGCATGGGTGTTGCTTTCTTTCCCAAGTTCCCGGTTGCTCACAAGCATGTGTTTATTTCCATTTGGCAGGTACTGTAGTCAGAGATGAGGTTGGCCTTACTTTAGACAAAGCTGGAAAGGAAGTTTTGGGTCTAGCCTCCAAGGTGGTTCTTACTAAAGATACTACAACAATTGTTGGTGACGGGAGCACCCAGGAAGCTGTAAACAAGAGGGTTGCACAGATTAGAAACCTAATTGAGGTTTGAGTGCATCTCTCCCTTCCTCTCTTTCGGTATACGTTCATATATGTGTGTGCATAGCAAGACACTCTGCATACAACAACCTTGTGTCGATGGATATTGCATGTGCAGACCCACATGTAAATGTTATGTTAGCACCGAATATGTGTGTAACTAAAGGCATGGGGTACAAGCAAGAGATCCCCCCCGCCCCCCGGGACTGTATGAAAGAAAATTGTCATATATACAAACATGGAAGCATAGGTGCATGCGCTCACACCTACATACACGCACAAAACAGTTGTGAATGTTGAAATGGTGAATAGAAGAGAGAGATACACATGATTTTAACTAGGTTTCTGCATGTTGCTGTAGGCTGCGGAGCAGGAGTATGAAAAGGAGAAGCTTAATGAAAGAATTGCGAAATTGTCTGGTGGGGTGGCTGTGATACAGGTAAATGCACTAGAGCCTTTTGTATTGACCAGTGTTCGCTGTGCTGTTATATCGGTTCTAGTAATGCAATATTTCTGTTATGTTTAGGTTGGAGCACAGACAGAGACTGAGCTCAAAGAAAAGAAATTGAGAGTTGAAGATGCTCTAAATGCTACAAAGGTGACGTTTTATTTTCCAACTTCCTCCTTGGGTTATTTTGGACGTGAGTTAACTATTGTGTAGGCATACAGGCTGCTGTTGAGGAAGGTATTGTAGTTGGTGGTGGATGCACGCTGTTAAGACTTGCATCTAAGGTGGATGCTATCAAGGAGGGCCTTCACAATGATGAGGAAAAAGTAAGCCACTTAAACGATTGGGAAAGTAGTTTTCCTAAATGTGGATGTGTTTTTGTGCTTGTGCTGTGAGAAATGTTCATGACAGCCGGTGTTTCTATTTGATAACGGAAGTTTCCTATTACTTAACTGAATATGCATACAACATAATTTTTATTTGTTGTAGGTTGGCGCAGATATTGTGAAAAGAGCTCTTAGTTACCCCCTAAAATTAATCGCCAAGAATGCTGGTGTAAATGGTAGCGTGGTCAGTGAAAAGGTACTCATTTGTTAGAGCTCGAATTTGGTATTCGTTTAATTTTTACTTGTGGTATGATTGAAATGTGTATTGTGCACAGGTTTTGTCCAGTGATAATCCACGATATGGATATAATGCTGCTACCGGAAAATATGAAGATTTAATGGCTGCTGGGATCATTGACCCAACAAAGGTGATTTACAGTCAATTAGTGCATATTTTTTTTGTTTTTAGCTCATCTGCTTTTGGTTCATGATCCGGGACTTGCTACTGCTTTTGTTCCGCAGGTGGTCAGATGTTGCCTGGAACATGCAGCCTCTGTGGCCAAAACTTTCTTAATGTCGGACTGTGTGGTTGTTGAGATTAAAGAGCCCGAGCCTGTACCTGCTGGCAACCCTATGGACAATTCAGGTACGTAGATGAATAAAGGGCAGATGACCAGGATTCGTGGGCCTTTTCAAACCCTGATTGAGAATACTCCAAAGCATCCTGCATGTTAGAATGTCAACATTTTTCAGTTTAACATTTGACTTGGCAGACTTTTTATTGGTCATTGTTTGTTTGTTGTTTGTTTTGTTTTGTTTTTTCCCCCATCTGTCAACTGACACTGTTTTCCGCTGTTCTCTTAGGGTACGGCATCTGAGGAGCAATGTGGCCGCAACCTGGGGACGAGAGCACCTTTTTTTTTTTTTTGAAAAAGAAAATTTTGTAATCACTTTTGGTACAGCGGCTGCTTAGGGTGGTGCGTATGGATGGAACGATGTCTTGGAATTTTTTCCGGAGTTGATTACTAGTTTTTGCTTATTTTTCGGGTGGACGTGTTCTGCCGGAAATCATTAAACGTTAGATTCCGGTTTTCCATGACTCCCAATGTCCCCGTGACTCCGTGAGAATCAGGGGTGGAAACAGGCCAGGCGGCCTGTCAGGGGCCTATGGCCTGGCCTGGTCTGTTTCCCAAAAAAGACAGGCTCAGGCCTGTTTGAAGGCCTGTTTAGTTAAACTGGCCAGGCTTAGGCTTTTTAAAAAGCCTGTTAAGCCTGTTAGGCCGGCCTGGTCCTGTCAGGAATTTATAATCATAATATATGAAAAAATTAATTAATGCTATTATTGTTAATGTATTCTTTTAATTATTTTTTAATTTTAATATATAGTTAATAGTTTAATCTTTTTTTAGATTTTGAAGTTTAGATGACAAGTGAAGATAAAAATATAATTTAAAATAATAATATCAATAAATAATGTGATTTTTAAATCTTAAAAATATAAAGAAAATAGGAAAGAAAAATTTTGTTCCAAGAATGATAAATTAACTAACTTACGTATTATGTTAATTTAAGTATGATACCCTCTTTATTCATTATAAAATTAGTATTTTTTTCCTCTTTATTTATTTGTCTTAATTTTAATTTTTTGTGTGTACTTAAACGTAGTCTTATTCTAAATTTTAACATATAATTACAATTAGTTTTCAATAATATTCTTGTAAATTATAATTAAGATTTAAAATAGTACTTATGATACTAAAATTTAAATAAAAGACAAGACTAAAAATTAAATTATTATGTACGTTTTTTTTATCTTAGCTTTTTTTAAAAAATTAATTATTATAATTTGAATTTTTTAAAAATACAGGCTTTTTAACAGGCTTCAGGCAGGCCAGGCCTTTATACAGGCCAGGCTCAGGTTGAAAAGTAAGCCTGTAACAGGCCACAGGCCAGGCTCAGGCCAATAGGCTCCAAAACAGGCCTGGCCTGTTAAGAGCAAAGCCTGACCTGGCCTGGCCTGTTTCCACCCCTAGTGAGAATCGGCTGAGACCGAGAGATAAATAGGTGAATTTAGGAGATCGAATATTTAGTTGGAAAATTACTTGTGGTGATATTAAAAATGAGTACTAGACTTCATAATATAATGTGAAAAGTAAAAATGCAAATGAACTTTTGAAAATGAAGCGAAAATGTCCATGCCGTTAATTACTCTAATGTTAACTATTTAAAGAGAATATTTGGACTCAAAAAGTGCATAAAAGAGTGAATCGCCCATGAAATTTAAAAAAAAAAAAACCAAAGAAAGAAACTAGTTTAGCATTCACATTAGGTACTTTCACAATCCCCAACAATGACGGTTACAATGGCATCTATGGGTTTTAAAGCTTCACTACTATTAATGGTAGCCATTAACACCAAATTCTTGCAGAAAGTTAACATTAACACTAGAAAATTGCAAGTAAAATTCGCAAGGATGGGGGAGAAGATGGAGCAATAAAATTACAGGCAAAAATCACAACGGAGGAAAAGAAGATGGAAAAAATTCCAATGGAGAAGATATAAATTGTAGCATGGCCTCTGTGTAGCTTCAGAACTTGTTCAACTTGCAGAACACAAAAACCCATCAAACAGGAAAATGATTTCAGATGCACTTATTGTAGATGATCGCGGAGATCGTCTTCTACAAGTGGATGCCAAAGGCAGGAGAACGATTTGAGATTTAAGATGCACCTGTCATGTGAGATGAAGAAGCTTGGGATGCCCAAGATAGCGATGGTGATGGGTGTCGAAGACAGCAACAATGATGGTGTCAGTGTCGGCGAGGACAAGGGTGGGGTGACTAGTGGAAGAGATGACTATGTAAGATGGGTTGACCACGGTCAGAAGAGCTGAGGGTATAGATGGCGAGTGAAGAAAGAACAGAGGCAAGAACTGAGCTCCATGGGTATAAGGATGGAATTGAGTTCCATCAATTTTGATGGGACTGGGTTTAGTTAGATTAGGCAGTAATTAAAAAAAAAAATAATTTAAAGTGAGGTAATTATAAGAAGAGAGAGAATATGACAAATAGAATTAATATGGTCTGAACTGGCATGTTTCTATTGGATAGAGTATAAATTATGTGGACACTTAGTGGTACCCACAAAAAAAAAAAAGTAACGCCCGTTTATAAGAGTTGACAGCATGGACATTTTTGTTCCCTTCTCAAAAGCTCATGTGCATTTTTGCTCTCAACATTTTATTATGGTGCTTGATACTTCTTTTCGATATTCCAATAGGTAAATTTGCTCTTTCACCCTAAAATTTAATTCATTTTGTTTATCATTTTTTTAAATAGTCCTTTTAATAACGATAGTTCTAACTGATAAATTTAATTAGTGGGGATATTTTAGGAAAGATAACACCTATTTATTGCAAATAATTAATTTATTTTATTTTTTAAATATATTAAATTAGTCAATTAGTTTTTATATTTAGGACTGGAAGTACCGAAAGTAGTAGTTGATAAAAAGTGACAGAATTGTTCTTTATTTTTGAATGTTGGAGCTTTAGCCAGTGGCGGTTATTTTTTAAGAAGTATTTTTAAGTCTAATGTGATTAATAATTTTTTTAATGTTATTAAGTTTGGTATTGTCTTATGTTTCTGACTTGAAGCTTGGTATTGTTTTTAACAAGTATTTTAAGGATTTCAAAAAATGGCATAGTATTTTTATAACTTGAGTAATATTATTAATAAATCACGTAACAGTTTTCATAACCATATGATTTCAGAGTTAATTACTGGAGTTTTGTAGTAACTATTTTTTTTTTGGGAGGTGTTTTCAATTGCAGCAGCTCAATCAACAAGTTTTTTAACTGAAGTTTCATATCACCGCCGTTAATAATAAAAGTAGTATTTTTACAACTTGAATGTTATAATTAACAAGTCATATATTAATACTAGCAATTTTCATAAAGCTATTAACTATGTGATTTTAGAGTTTTTTATAGTTTGGGAGATTAGTGATGGCATCATAAATGGGGAATTTTTTAAGTTTTGTAACGAGATTAGTCAATTCTTTAATATTGTTAACAAGTTTGATATCACTGGTAATAATAAGTTTTTCAATAAATTTAAAAATTAGTATTTTTATAATTTTAGTAATGTGGTTAACAAGTCATATAATGATATTAACAATTTTTATAATGTCAGCTCGTTCTAAAAGTTGGGCAGCAAAATTTTTTCATTTATTAGGCAATCAATATGGTTATAAGAGTTATTAATATCATTATATGACCTATTAATTGCATTACTAAAGTTTTAAATATGCCACTTTTTAAATTTTTTGAAAAACATGTTATTAATAGTAATACCAAACTTGTTAATTGTGTTTAAAAAAAAAAGTTCTTAACCACATTACAGGATTTGAAAAATTTCCCACTTATGACTAATCTCTCAAATATAAAAAACTCTCAGATCACGTGGTTAATGGTGTTATAAGAGTTGTTAATATTATTACATGACTTGTTAATTGTGTTATTTAATTTAAAAAATACCACTTTCTAAATTTTCTAAAAAATCTGTTATTAACAGCAATACCATATTTGTTAATAGTGTTAAAAAATTTGTTAATGACATTACTAGACTTGAAAAAATTCCCAAAAAATAATTGCCATTTGTCTCGTTGACCGGCCACTAGAGCTCTAATGATTAGCTCTCAAATAATATATAACATTATGAGAATTTTTAATATTGTATTATTCAAGTTATAAAAATATCATTTTTTGAATTTTTAGAAAACTATATTGTTAACAGTGCTGCCAAACTTGTTAATAGTGTAAAGGAATTTATTAATCATATTACTGGATTTAAAAAAATCCTTATAAATAGTTATTTGTCATTAGACCTCTAGTGATTAGTCATCGGCAATCCTGGCCATTGGTGCCAAAGCTCTTGCAAACAGCTGGCTGATGAGAGTGGCTTAATAGTTTTTATAAAAAATTAAAAGGCAACATTGTAAATTCACGAATATTTCAAAATTCCAATCTAGTCATTATTACTAATTTGGGATTTTGCAAGTTTAAGTGCCCATTTAGGATTTTGCAGATTCAAGTGTTATTTTATTGAAATTTTTCCAAATAAGTTTAGAATGTAAGTAAATTTCTGACATTATTATATTATTAAAAACAACAAACAAAAATTTATTTGTATTTTTTAAAGGGAGAATCCAAAAAAAAAAAAACTTTTGAATTTCAAAATTTTAAATTAATCTTGTCTACTATACTTTGGTAATAATTGATAACATTTAAAAAGTAAATAATAACTCTTTTTTATAGTCATTAATAATATGAGATTTTGAAATTTTAGAAGTACTTTTTTTTATAAAGATTTTCTCTTTTTTAAAGCTATTTTTACTGCTTTCCAAGAGAATACCATTTCTATCATGCGCACCATAAAGTGGGATGTAAAATGTAGTTTATTATAAATATAAATTTTATGTTAATAATGAGAGAAAAAGCTATGCTATATTATCCGTGTCATATTTATATCTTTTTAACTGAAATCAAATAATTGATAAACCTTTCAAAATATTTCTTGTGAAATAGAGTCAAAATTATGACGGTTGTGAATAAGTTTCAAATGAGGAGCTCATTAGAAATAAATATTGTAAGATTGTGTTATTTTTTATACTACAAAAAATTGTTTAAAATTGTTTATATTTATAACTCAATTCTCTTACAAGTAAATTTGCATAATTTTTTGTGCTAGCTACTCAAATTTTTGTGTGTGTGTGTGTATAAATATATATATTTGTGAATAAACTTGTGTAGGAGCTAGCATCTTTTTCCTGGCCAACGCACAAGTTAGCATCTATTCCTCCTTTTCACTCAACGAGACGGCCTCTCTTGAGCCTTCCCGGCCGCGCGGAAGCGCAACTTTATTTTTCATTTTTCAATGCCAAAGCACCCAATATACACGTGGCATCAGATGAGTGTATCCAAATGAGAGCGCGCCCGCGTCTCCGAAGACTACAGCCACTAACAATCTGTGATCCGAGCCTCTCATTCCCTCAAGAGGGTCCCCATCGTATAAGCAAGCGTAAGGCAAGATAAAGGATGGGCTTCCTCTTGTCCAGAACTCCGCACTTCAACTGTTAGAGCCAAAGGTATGATAATCATGTCTTTGTCTACCACTACCAGTGGTCATTCATATCTCTACACTTCACCTACATTGCCAAGAACTATCCAAAGCTCAACTCAGTATCCTCCAACTATCAAGCTCTTTTCTTCCAGAAACACCCCCTATCTCACTGCTTCTTCTTGCTTCTCTAACACCCTTCTCTCAAAATCGTTCCTTTTTGCTGTTAAAGCATCTTCCGAGCTCGGTTCTCAAACATCAAAACAGGAGAGTGAAAAGAGCGAATCTGGGGAAGGAGAAGAAGAGAGATACGAAGAGTATGAGGTCGAAATAGAGCAGCCTTATGGCCTCAAATTCGCAAAGGGTCGGGATGGTGGAACTTATATTGATGCGATTGCGCAGGGAGGATCAGCTGACAGGACTGGAAAGTTCACTGTTGGGGATAAAGTAATTGCCACCAGGTGTTCTTCATATTCTTTTTCTTTTCAATTTTGTTCCTTCGACTGATGCCAGAATCCTTAGTTGTCCATGATGGTTAATCGGTTTGGTGGAATTTAATGGTGGGGTGGCTAAATCAGGACTAAAATCATGCACTTGAGAGATCATGCACTTGAGATCTTTTTGGGACACACACACAAGCTTTAAAAATATGATATAAGAAACTCTTAGGTCCGATTGGCAGGAAACATTGAAAATAAGATATAGGGATTGAGATTGTAATTGAAAAAAATCATGGTAATGGTATTTAGTATGAGTAATTGCTTATTATATGGGATTAGGAAAACCCATAGATGTAATGGTATTTCCCAATCCCACATACATGGGTTTAGTTAATCCCATATAACAAGCAATCTTTTATGCTAAACACTTTTAATGAATTTTTTCAATCTTAATCCCAATCCCTATCCCTGATTTCTATTGCTTCCTACCAAACACAACCTTAGTTTATAATACTAGAATGCCATAGGATGGACTGAGAGAACCTAGGAATCAGCTTCTGTGAATCAAGTTGACTAGTCTTCCTTCCAGTCATTGTGGACGAGTTTTTAGTGCAACCAATGAAAGCTCTGATTGTTGACACGATATCAGCAGTTGCTGGATGATATGTCAAATCGGTCTGCAGGCTGCACGAGGAAGCGAAAAGCCCCTCCCCTCTATAAAGTTATATTCGGATTAGGTCTATAGGGTGCGATGAGCCAAATAAAGGGTGCAGTGCTAGGATATTTTGGCCAAGATAATCTATTGAATGCCTTGTTTAGTCATGGTTTAATTTTTGTGGTGAATATTAGTTCTGACTGAACTTTTACTCTGTTACTAAAGCACCTTAGATTTAGACACATGAAGTTCTTGATGGACAAGAAATTATCACATTTATGGTTTGTCTGTCTCCGTTTATTAATTTGAAAGATATCTCAAGATGAAAACTCAATGCTTCATGTTTGATTTTTAATGTTTATATGGTTGAGATGTGAGGAAAAGTTTCAATGCATGCAGTGCAGTTTTTGGCACAGAAATTTGGCCAGCTGCAGAATATGGCAGGACGATGTACACAATTCGCCAGAGAGTTGGTCCTTTACTTATGAAAATGCAGAAGAGATATGGTTAGTTTCGGTTCATATTTTTTATAACCATGATGGAAAGTGATCTTGTGATGCATTAACACTACATGTCTGATCTAGTGAGCTCTGATTTTTTAACCTTTAGGTCACCATTTTTCTTTTTGACAGGAAAGCTAGACAACACAGGTGAGTTAACGGAAAAGGAGATTATCCGAGCTGAGAGGAACTCTGGTGTAGTCAGTAACAGAGTGCGGGAAATCCAAGTATGTGTCTTGATGTTAGAACTGCAAACTAGCACTCCTTAGTTGTTCTGTATGAGATATTGTATTTCTCATAGAAAGGCACCACAACTGTACTTCTGATTGGGGAACAATCAATATCATTCCTCAAACTTTCAAAAATTTCAGATGCAAAATGTCTTGAGGAAAAGGGAACAGAAAGAGCGCAGGGAAAAGGACCTGAGAGAAGGATTACAACTATACAAGTAAGACTTGGAAACTCAAAATCATCTTCTTTCTGACCCTCTTTGTCTTATTTGGTTTTGCCTTTCTTACAATTCTGATCTTTGAGATGAAAATCAGGATCTGCTGCTTACCATATCAAAATTATGCACTCATGTTACATTTGGATCTTACTATGAATTGAATTCGTTTCACTATTCATGGCCTGAAACAGTGTATTAGTGGTAATTTTTTCCTGTACTTTGAAATTCGTTTCACTATTCATGGCTTGAAACAGTGTATTAGTGGCAATTTCTTCCTGTAGTTTGCATTGTATTTTTATTTTTGGGTAATTACGTGCTTCAGACATGATTCTGGTCTTTTACTAGCAGAATAAGAGGGACTTCTCATCTTGAATCTTAGGTTATTTCCTTTCTCATCTGCCATTTTCTATTTGAAACCTTCTGTGCCCGTGGCCAAAATCGCATTGTTAGAATTTCCTTGTTTCTCAAGCACACTAAAATAAATTTATATAAACTAAAGAACTAATTTTTTTGTCTGCCTGGAATAAATAATGAAGAAATGCCAAATATGAGGAAGCATTGGAGAAGTTCGAGTCTGTTTTGGGGTCAAAGCCAGAACCTGAGGAAGCTGCGGTTGCGAGTTACAATGTTGCCTGTTGTTACTCCAAGCTAAATCAGGTATACATTTGTTTCCGTTTAAAATATATGTTGCAATCATTGCTCATGCTATTTAATTTTTTGTTTAATCCTGATTAAACATGGAATTGTCGAAGCTGGCCAGCATTAACCTAGGATATCTTCACATTTATTTTTAAGCTTGCTTGGCTAACCCGTTAAAACAATAACATCCCATTGACAGATAGATGAATTATGAGTCGCTCAAATTTACTTCCACACATTGTTCGACTGAGATATATGATAATATTCTTGCTCAGTTCATTATTCTTGTCTACAATGAATCAAGTCGTTGCATATAGCTTTGTTTATAAAATAACTGGATGGTTTCTCAAACAGATTCAGGCTTCGCTTTCTGCACTTGAAGATGCTATGGAAGCAGGGTTTGAAGACTTTAAGGTGACTTGCAAGCCTACTGTAAAATATTTGATCACTTCACTTAGCAAAAAAGCTAAGCTGTCTAAAAAATTGTTATTCTGTCAACAGAGAATCAAGACAGATCCTGACCTGGCCAATGCAAGAGCATCACAGGAATTTGATCCTCTAGTGAAAAGATTTGACGAATCATTTATCAATGAAAATGCCATCAATGCCATTAAGTCTCTCTTCGGCTTTAATAAGAAATGAAATCAAAGAGTCTTGCCATACCAATCAAAGGACCTCAATACGTGGAAGCATGTCTCAATGGAGCTAAGGAGTTGTCTAAGTAATATAATTCCGAGAAATTGCCGTTCGCTTGTATGATTTCGGAACAATAGGTCTCCCTCATTGACTGCTGTTCAGATTGTTCCTCTCTTCGCTTCAATCACTCGGATCTTAGTTTATATACTTCTATAGCTAGCCTCGCTTGTAAGAAATTGATGGGCTGTAAGATTGTTCATTTCTACGACAATACAACTCTCTTGACTATGACGTGCTAAAATAAAAACGAGAGGAAACTTGGTAGAGGAGCAGGGGATGAAGTAGCAAAGTTACCAAAAATCTTTAAAGTACTTGTAACAAAAAAGAAAAATCTTTAAGATACGACAAAAGAAACGCTCCTGCATTCCGCATAGGATCAAGGCCATGTCTATTATTGATACCCTTAGCATGACAGAGTAGTGGCTAGAATTCCAATATGGACAATATAAGCTGACATGTAAGTAACTCGTAATCCATGTTATGCGTAATGGACGAAAGAAGTTGGCTAAACTTGAGGTTGAAGACGGATTGGAAGTCCTTTTGAAGGTTTTAGCAGGGGATCGTACAGGAATTTCTCAGCGGGAATCAATAACTCCCACTTGAATCTTTTCACAATGTTATGCATGAACACGAGAATCTCAAGCCGTGCAAACTCTTGCCCCAAGCACATTCGAGGTCCTCCTCCGAAAGGAGCATATGAAAACGGGGTAGGCCCTGTTCCTTCGAACCTTGAAGCATCAAAAGTGTCGGGATCTGGGAAGAATGTGGGGTCCTTGTGCGATGAACCGGTGCTCCACGACAACTGCCAAAGGGGAAAAAATGACGAGATCAAGACATAGTGAAATGCGTATCATCAAATTTTAAAACAAGCTGTGCTGCAGAAGCAAGAATGCGTGTACCTTCCATCCTTTAGGGATGGTATAATCAGCATAGGTGATATTGTTCAAAGCTTCTCTGTAAGAACCAGTCACGGGAGGAGATAGTCTTAGGACTTCGGATGCAACATTCCATAAGTGCTTCATTTTTTGAATGTCCTCCCATTGCAACAATTGCCCCGCCTCTTTCCCCTTGGAAATTTCTAGCTGTTCTGTCATGAACACAACATCAGGCTTCTGATACTAGAAACTTAAAGGTATCGTTGATACAAAACTAATTTATCCAGCGACGGCGAGGATTTTATCACTAACCTTCCAACACTTTCTCATAAACATGAGGCATCTGGCCAAGATACTGGATGACCGATGTTATGACTGATCTAGAAGTATCATGACCTGCAAATAGCAGTAGTAGTATGTTATCTATAATCTCCATTTCGTTCAAAAACCTCCCGTTGCCGTCAGATGTGACTAGCAAATGTGAGAGAAGGTCTTGGGTAGGTGAGGCCCTCTTCTCTTCCAAATCAAGTCTCCTTTTCTTTATGATCAGCTTTAGTTCTTCCCTTATTGCATTTGTCGCTTTCGTTGCACAGTGAAACCTTGTCCCGGGCAAGTTGATGGGGAAGCTTATCACCCCTTTGAGGAATTCATCAAATTGTGGTGAAAGTTTAGATACCTGGATCGGATCTTCAATGCTTGCAAATAAGCAACAAGCCAGTTCAAGCGCATATTGTTTCACCGTGGGATACGCAAGCACTACTTCTTTCCCTTCACAAATCCGAGTTAGGAAAGGTCAGTGAAATTGATATTTTTCTCCTTTCAGTTTCTTAAGAATGAATTAATGGGGAAAAAAAAGTGAGAAAATTGTGGTACAATCAGCAGACTCCTAAAACAGGAAGCTAGCTATTAAAATAAAGGCAGATTTAAGATATCTAATGTCTGATGATTTCTATTTTCGACGGAACATGTGAATTAGAGAATTCATAGAATGCACGATTAAAATAAGAATTCAGTTGCATGCTGTGTCATGCTTCAACTTTTACTCCTTATCATTCTGTTGCTTCCTTTCTAAGTTTGTCAATGATCAAGCAATGAAATTACATGAGATGGACTATCACGATTGCAGCCGAATTCTCCTATATAGAGAAGGGAAAAATAGAACTGGAGATTCCGGGCCTAAACCCCCCCCCGGGGGGGGGGGGTGTTGTGGAGCTTCCATTGTACCGGATTTTGCAGTTATAGTCTACGTCCCACGAACTAAGCGTTAGTTCCTGGCAAGCAAATGATGGTGGATAGAAGGGAAGAACAAAAAGAAGATAAGCACCGACTTCATTACCTACCTTGCCAATGAGTTGTAATATGGCAGCAGGCAATGGTGTCCATTTTTGCCAAGTAATTTTTGAGCGCTTCTGGATTGAGGAAACTCATGAGCAGCTTTCTCATGGTTTTAGCTTCATAACCAACCTTGGTTACCAAAGAAGAGCGCAAGAGCTTCCTTACAGAGGTGGGCCACCATACTTGAACATCCTTGTTCTCATTGCTGAATAAGAACTTGTTCCCAGCTGCCCCACAGAACACAACCATGGGCTCTCCCAACACTGAAGTCTTGAACACCCTCGAGTCGTATTTCTCCATTCTCTCCCTTATGAACGATTCCGGCTTGCCGTCATAACCTGATCTCAAAAACTCAAAGGTTTCCCCAATAACCGGCCATCCTAAGTTTCCTGGAGGAAGATTCAGGTTCGGATGTTTCCTAGTTTTGACAAATTTAGTAATGAAAGGAAGAGACAGGAAAAAGACTAGTAGTGTCAAAGCTGCTGGGAGGGTTAGAAGCTCGGTCACCTCCATAATTTAAGAGATTTTGAGCATTCAGTAGTGAAAAGAGAGGAAAGAAGAAGAAAGTGAGCTGCGGAAGCGGCTGGAAAGCTCCGGCATCAAATAACAAGGAACTGACGTGAACTCTTGATGCTATGAAGTGGAGGGATACTGTTCCCATTGCATGGTCTGCTTTGCAATGTGTGATGATTCTGTCCCCCATTGTCTCTCTTTATCCAAACGCTCGTCCATATATAGAGCATGTAATGGCGTTAGTGAATGATGTATTGATTATGAATTTGCAATCAAAATCTACATCTTTTGTGAATTCTTTCTTCCTTACGAATCAGTGTGACCAGATTTTTAGTTTCAACTATTCGTTAATGGCTTACGTTTTCCTTCAGCATGCCACACGCAGACAAACAAGACAGATGATGACAACCCTTGTCCCAATTGTAGATATTTTCATGTCAGATCATGAGCAACAGACAAATACAAATTGCTCAATGTCAAACCCCCCCCCCCCCAATGTTTATTGGTTCCCCTCCGTAAAACTCAACTTAACCATGCTTTATAGGCAAGCCATTCTGTTGGCGTTCAAACTCAATTCACCATGGGCTTTCGTCTGTAATCGGGCTATTTTCAGGGCCATAAATCCTTTTGACGCGCTAGACTGATTGTTGTTTTTCTTTTTCTTTTCTCTGTGAAAGCAGTTCTAGGACACCGTTTGCCTCACCGATTAGGCAGACTGACAAGCCCCTGTAGGTAATTAATTTTGGCCATCTCTCACCCTACGGATAATTAACAGTTTCACATAATACATTGGTTTTCAAAATTTTTCTTCTTGATATGACGTCTGAGGCATGTGAGGGACAGCGGCTCGGGATCCAGAGATTTTTTATGCAAGTGAGAGAGCGGAACATTCAGATTTATCAAACTAAAATGGGGATAAAGATTTGAGGGTAACATGTTGAGATTTGGATCGCCCAATCAGTTTTGGATGCAGTCAAAAGTGAATTCTTTGACCCGTTCCTCCGAATCTTATTGACGTGGTGGACTGGGTAACTACTTGATTGAATCAAATAACTCATCTTCCTTACGTATCTATTAATCAATTTAATAATTCTCATTATAGCTTTTCTTTTGATATGAAATATCTGGTGCCCAGTTCTTGTTCTCTCTCTTGAGGAAAAACCCGTTGTACAGTTCTGGTCGTTATGTTATCAATATCAACATTGATACTACTATTCATATTATTTTATTAAATTTACTAATATTCATAGTGTCAGATTTGGGGTGAATCATGCTGGTAAAAAAGATTTGGGGTGAATCATGACGTCAGCTTCTTGGTTTTTTTTTTTTTAAATCAATTGGAAGTTTGCGGATGGGCACTGGAGATTAGAAAATCAGAGGTTACTTGGGGGAATCGACAGGGGTGAGCAGGAAGACGAAGATAAAGTCTTTGGAATTAAGAACGGAGTTGTCAAAAGTCAAACTGAAGAAATCACATTAAAACAGAGCCGGGGAACAACCAAAATTTCCAATCAATCCCGAAATCTCAGAAAACAGCGTCCAGAGAGGGAAATGGTATTCAACAGCCTGGCAGTGGTTTCGGTGGCACACGCATCAGCGGACGTATGGCAATCGGTGGCATGCATTCCTGAGCGTCTCAGCAGTGATCAGCTCTTAGATCTCGTGTGCTGCTTCCCTTTGCAACAGCTGGGTCGTCTCGCTCTCTGCCTCTGGAACTTCCTCTGCCTTCCTCAACCCGATTCGTATTACTCTTATTACTACTCCTCCTCGGACTCCGATGACTCTTCTACTACCCTCGATTTGGATGAGTACTATCATCATTCCCATTCCGATTGATTCCTCGCCCATTCGCCCTTTCTTCCTTCCTGTAAAGTGTTTTTCTTTCTCATTCTTCCTCTGTTTTTCTATAGGTTTTTGTTTGCCGATCGTATGACTGTAGCTGTAGACTGTAGTTGACTTGTTTTTAATAATTTGGTGATACCGGTTGTTTAGGATTGTTTTTAATAATTTGGTGATACCGGTTGTTTAGGATTACTTCTGTTGCATGTTGGGTGACTACTTATTTGCCCACCTCCTGGTTGTCATCGCTCGATCACTGGCCCCTCTGTAGTTTCACCCCTGGAGACGAAAGCCCAGTCCTAGAGTGTGATTTCCTTCTGGTGTTGATTTTGCAAAACATCGGTGGCAATGTCAAAGATACCTTAATTCATCATATCCCTAAACATACAAAACTACTGGACCATCTGCAAAATCTTGCCTAAAGTACAAAACTCATGCAAAAAAAAATATATCTTTATTGGCCAATGTACGAGTTGGGAGCTGATTAATAATAAACCCTGCTGTAGGAAAAGCCTCTGTTCACAGGCTCAGAGGCAAAGAAGCTTAAGAGGACAATGTCAGGTCCATTTCAGTGATATGCCCGTGTCTTCTCTCCCTGTTTCCATTCGGTTCATGAGCATATGGACAGTTAAACCTGTGCTGAATCCCTCCTTTTTCTAGAAATTCTGTAAACCCAAAATTTTCTGCCAGAATCACTCTGAACAGTTTTAGTCCTTCTGTTAAGTTGCTGTTCCACTAAAGCCTTGAATTTCTGAAGAACAGTCAATGCATCTGACTTACTCTTCAGTATATAAATCCATCTGTATTTTGAAAAGGCATCAATGAATGAAATGTAATTATTTATCAGCAGTCATGGACATAGCAGATGTTGGACCCCAAAAATTTGTAAAATTCAATTGAAGGTGTTCAATGTGATGACTTTGAGACACAGCATAGAGAAACTATGAGCTTTCCTTGAGGTACATACATGGCAAGCATTAGGGACTGTATAAGAAGCAGCCGGTGTAAGAGATAAAGAACTTTTTTCCTTCCATCATGATAAGGCCTTAATACATTGGTTTCCATTCTACAGGAGACATGCCCAAATCTAAATGCCAAAGGTAATACAACTGAGGCTTTTCAAACTTTTCTGCCTTGTAAACACCATTGCAAGATTCCTTTCCAACTGCAGTTGCTACGCTTGTCGTTGCGTTGTGTTTGCCATGATATACTGCCTTCCTACTCTGATGATCCTGCTCAAACCCTTCATATGCGTATAAAATATCCTTCACTCACCTCTTTTTTAATTGAAAAAAAGATTACAACATACAAGTTTTACCAGTACCTAGGATACAAAACACCCTGCCTATCATCATTCACCGTCTTCTGATGGGAAGGTGGAGGGATCAAAGGAGATGAAATGAACATCTAACTTATGAACTAAACGAGCTAGTATGTAAGCACATTCCTTAACCTCTCTACGTTTCTTTCTTTGTTTTACTTTTTTTGCCAGAGTCTTCTGTTAAGTAACTGTTTCTTGAAGCTCCCTCAGTTTCAATTCCCATTGCTAAATGCTAACTAAATGTTTGATGAAATGCCCAAACATGGATTGCCTTGCTTCTCCTCCTCATCTTCCTCCTTCATTGCAAATTTCAACCCTCGACTGTTTCCCTCTGTTCGTCATTCATTCAACAGGATTCAGAATATGGTGAAAGTTTAATGCCAAGAATCTTGTAGCTGTTGAGGAAACCGGCTCACTCTGGGGTTCTTTCAGGAAAGGGCTCTTTTGCGATGGTAGATTTTTGAGGAGGTGTGATGTTCAGAAGCACAGGGACCATTGCTTACTTCCTTGATATCCCATGTTCTCAATGATTTCATAGAATGCCCTAAACTGGCTAGTGGATCTGTTCATCAGAGCCAGAAACACTGATCAGATTGACTTCTAAAGGATTATGTATGCTTTGATACCATATAGAAGCTAGAGATCAGAAAGATGTATGTAGAAAAACCCACCTTGTATTGTTATTCTGTATTGTTTAGTTATATATAGGCATAGACTGACACTCTTCATAACAGAAATGCAGAATCTAACAGGGTAATAAACTAACTATCATTTATAACATATTTTCTAATAATACTGACTGATTGTCACAGCTTCAGTCAATCCTAATGACGACAATCAGTCAATCCTCATGACATCGTCATCAGGATGAAGCATTTTGGTTTGATTTTAAGAAACATTAGAAATCATGCAGTTGATGTGAATGAAGCGGTATAAAGGGTAGGATTATGAAAATTAGGGATAAGTATTGAATAGAAGTTAGTTTCTCTTAGTTAATTTTGTAGTTAACAGAATAACCAAGTTAAGCTGCAGTTCCTATAGCTGACAAATACGTGATGCCTTATACCGGAATGATTGTTGGATAGTATCATACTCTTGTTAGTTTCTCTTTTCCCACCGGCTGGCATCACACTATTTTGGCACTCTTGAACATGCTATTTTCCACAGTTAAATGTTTGTCCGCAAAGGAGTTTATAACCTTACAAGAACCTAGTCCGACATTTACCTTCTTTGCTTGCTTGCCTTCTTCTCTTTTTTTTTTTTATAAATAAAATACTATAATTAGGACCGAAGGTAGTATTTTATTACCTAGCTAGTATCTAGACTTGTCTTATTTCATACATCCACATGCCAAATATTTTTGTCAACTAAACTGTCTCATTATAATGTCCTCCCTCCAATACTTGTTATCAGACTTTTATCCATAGTCCTTATTGTGAAGCCTACGGAAGTTGTCTAAATCTTTCCATAATGCCTTTTACTTTGCCTGATGGTGGTAGAATTTGGCTGATAGGAGAAGAGATCATGTTTGGCCGGCGTTGGTTTCCAAATCATTAATCTCTGCCGCACAGTGGTTCCTAACAGACAACAGAGGTTCTTTTGGCGGTACTGAGGACTCTCAGTTGAGTTTAGGCTGCAGCCATTGTATACATTATCTCCTGATAGCCATATCTCCATGTACACACACACACGATTAATTGACCTCTCAATACTTTGTGGCTTTGTGAAGAGTATTGTGCTACACACCTCTCTTTTCGCCCCTCAACATTTTACAAAAGTTACCATAGTAGTATAGTACAGAGCTTTAATCAAGCAAGTGTTATTCTTCATAATGTTTTTATCATATTTTTTGCTAATATTTCACATGTAAGCGGTTGGGAGTCTGATTTGCGTACTTCAAAATCCTAAATCAGAATCCTTGTTCGGTACTTCAATTCAATGAAGCTGCATAATCATTGACATCTCCATATAGAAATGATTTATCAAAAAAAAAAGTTAGAAGTTATGTATATAGTGTGCTATATATAAGAAAATATACTATCTCCACTTTTAAATACGAGAGTTTGTTTGTAGATAAGAAAATATGTTATCTCCACTTTTAAATATAAGACATTGTTTGTAGTCTATAATAATAAATAGTTTAATGAATTGATTATGGCATAATAAAAAAAATATTAACATTAGAACAACTAATAAGTTCACGGCCTCTAGAATAAATGTGCCAGTAGAGACAGTGTTGATGCCATCTGTGGCCGTTGCTTATTGTCTGCCTTCGTTTCATGACTTTGCCAGCTAAAACCGTATGTGGATTCTAAAGGAGAAGCTCCATGTCCTTCTTCTTTGGCTGTCATCGTGAAATGAAGGGACTAAAATGAAGGGCTGTTAGTCCGGTGATGGAGTTCCCACACAAGGAGTCGTATTCCCTTGCGCAAACGAAACAGTTGTGTTGTCGGATACATAGACATCCATATGTGCTACCAAGTCCAGTGACCTGTCTAAACAAAGCAAAACACAAGAGTAATTTCTCAATTTGATGTTGGTATAAGTTATTGGCTGTGTTCATTTATCAAGGTGCTGCACAGAATAGTGGCGCATGTAACAAGGGCGGGAAGCAGTTGTGTGCGACTAGTAACGTTCTTGAGGGTGAGTGATAAAATCAAGTTAGGGGGTGTTTGGCATTCTCAAAATCGCGGTTTCAGAAGCACTTTTCCGCAAAACGAGGTAACCCTATCCACATATTTACTTCGTAATCTGTAAAAGCATTACTGAAACCATGGTTTGGTTTCTATCTATATTTACTTCGTAAACCGCAGTTTATATGATGTCAGAAATGTTAAAATATAAACAAATGTAACAGGTCGATTCATATTCAAATCTGAGTTACTCCTCCGGAGCTTCCCAAATTGATCTACCAATACTCACGTAGAGTTTATACTACTAAAGTCTAAACTTAAGTGGTGCAATAGAACACCACATAAGAAAGAATGGTAGAGAGTGTAGAGAGAGCAAGCAAACTTAATTATTAGAGTGAGTTGAACTGATAGATGGATGCCTCTATTCGTAACCTTAGCCAGAGGTATTTTGGGAATGCAAAATATCAACTAAATATATCAGTTTGAATTTGAATTCGAATATTCAAATATCTCTTAAATAATAAGATGATGAATTTGAATTTAAATTTAGAATTAATCTCAATTAATTCTAAATATATATATCTCTAATATATATTTAATTTGTACAATATAAATTAATTTAGCTTATATCATAACCGATTGGATTTGATTCAAGATTTTTGGTTGAATCAAAATATCATAACCTTGTTTGGATATTTGACTAAAATCTTCTCTTAATAGATAATCAAATAATTTGGCCCATCAAAGGCAGATCCAAACCCAAAAATCCAATATCTCCCACTCGCACTTGATAGGCTGACTATTGTGCGATTATCACATCTTTTTTGCTTCATACTTGGTGTCTACCATGACTGTGTGGGCATGACATCTTCAATTTTAGATGCGTGTGTACTAGAAGTTTTTTATACAGGACGAACACACAAGAATATCTTGGATGTACCTACAAGTCTACATATTGCCTCGAATGTACTAGATTTACCCATACACATTTTTCTTGGCATGTCTATTCCTTCTCGAGTTAATTATTGATTAACTCGGATTGTCTTTTCATGCACTTAGTATCTACGCTTACAAGTTGCTCAGACAACTTAGTAAAAGACCGGTCACAGACACTAGCATAATTGTGTACTTCGGAGTAAAACTTCCTTCTGACTAGTCATAATTAGGCCTAATCCAGTCGTTTTCCTATTGTTGACCTTTTGGATCGAATCACTCATGACTATAAAGTGTAAGCTAAAGTAGCTATCACCAAATCAGCCCCTCATGATGTTGTCTTAGTCTTAGAGGCATTACGAAAGGATTTTTCTCCTTTTTAAGACTCATACTGTGATGGAACAGGAATTTTCCACTCACATTCCTTGTTATAGCTCTTATAAGCACATGAAATATGAATTATATGCTACGGTGTTTGTCTTAACTTTGTTAAGAGGATATGTCGATTTTGATTTATTGACACCATACAGACTTAAGTTTTACGTATAATAATATCTAAACTGAAACCTCTTCAATACAAATCCACTGACGTCTCATAAGAGATGGAGTTTTGTGTTTGGTTACAAGCTTCATGGATTGCATTTATCCATGACTCGATTTAATCTTTGTGTGGATCTAGTATTTGGTCCGTTATGAATCTCATCTCAGACTTATCTAAGGAGACATATGTGTGATGATACTTATTGATCATTGTTCTTATGGTATGGTGATCATACTTGTATCTAGTTCTCCAGCCACATTACTTAGCAGGAACACTTTTCCTAAACTAAATGTTGCTTATATAGGTTTTTAGCCCAATAGCATTGTAAGATGTTACCTTGATGTACAACTTATGATCAATGGTACTTTTTAGGCATCTTATGTACTTGTTTACTGGAATTGACTAAAGATTGACTCATAACTTCACTTTTATTACAATGTCATGTAAATTGAGCTATCAACATAGCTTGAGTACGAGACTCTTTCCTGTGTTCTATGTCAAATTCCTTTATAGGATAGACAACCTCGCTTAGGCTATATCTTTTAACTTCAAGGGTGTCCATGGGTTTGTAGTATATTATGTTGAGACACTAAAGGGTTCTATTTATGCAGGTCTTGTGTAATAAAGGCAGTAGTCCTCTTATACAATCTCTACTTATCCTTTCTCTCAAAATATTTTCTACTCCGTCTGTGTTCTTTGTATCAAAATTTAAGGATCATTTGTCTTAACCATCTTTTAAGTCTCTTTTGACCAGAGACATGTCGTCACAATGAGGAGATAATGTCACAAAAACAAATCCTAAATTATATGGTGTGCATGCTATCACTTTTCTTCAATCACTTTGAAGTTATATGAGGTTATCGTTATGTGAAATTTTATGTATGACCATATAGATGATTATTTTGAGAATCCCTTTTATCCTTTCCTCTTTCTAATGAAGCTCTCAAGTTACTTCATATAAAGTATATCATCCAGTTCTTATTTAGAGAAGTGGCCTTTACATCTTATCAATTGATATTATCATCTTTTATTCACAAACACATTTGTTCCAATTGCCTTTCGGCTAGGTGTTTGGTCAAATAATTTTCTTAGTCGATTGGAATCAATTTCCTCTTACAGGGCATTCTGCCATTTTTCTTTAGCATATCCTCTTAGAGCCTTTTGGATAATTCCAATGCTTTGGATGTTGTCTTTTGGATTAGTGATGAAACTGCCCATTTTCTTAAAGGCTTTGATTATTTTACTTTTCCATAGTAGGGTTTGTTGCACAGAACTCTCTTTCTATATTTAGGTGAGGTCTTCTAATATCTTCTTTTTGTAATTGTGGCTCCTGGTATCATTTTGTAATATCTTACCTCTTATTACTTATCTCCTGTATCTTCTTATTGTGAAAATAGCTCAACCCTCTCACTCGAATCAGTGACCTAAAAAATACTTACCAGTTCCTCTTTATCATTGTTCTTATAAAGAGATTTGGTGTAAATAGTTCTCTTTTCTAAAGAATTTGGTTCCTACGAACGTTATGCCTCTTTGAGTTTGTCTCAGTCACTAAGACGTCATCATTTTCACTAATGAAGACATACCCTAATAAGATGTTTGGAGTATTTGATAACGATACATTATTTTATCTTCTAACTCTAATTCTTTATACTACGGAAGGAATCATGGATGCATGTTGTTGGCCCTCGTGGTCGTATGACACTTAAGTCATATTTATAGCATTTCCATGATTGTTTTTTTAAAAAAGGGGTTATAATTGATTCTGGGGGAACTTGGTTGGTCATGAAAACTACAGTTACTAGCTTATTCCTCAAATGCAAAACTAGTAGTTGTACTTGTGCTATTAT